TAACTTTTTGTAAAATTCAAGATTTATTATTGAAAAAAAACATTGTTTTTAGTGCACGTTTAATTTTATATCAATAATTTTACTTTCATTTCACTTTATTATTTGTTAAGAATTCTATTAAAAACTTTGTTAATAATATATTGTTGTATGACGTACGGGCGGTAAATTTTTTTTATTATATATAATATTATATAATTTTATTATTGTATATAAAATATTTATTATTATAAATAATAAATTTAAAAATATTCTAGTTACAGATATTAAACAGAGATTAAAAGGTACAATGCAAAATTATATCTATATTATACAAATAAACTATTATTATTGTAGTATACATGTATATAATTAGAAATAAGTATTTAGAAATAATTTATTAAGTATTTATATACTGCAAAATGGAAATATAGCCAATTATAACAAATATAATTACCTAATAAGTAAATAATAATAATTATTATAATTATTATAAGGACAATAATAATGAAGATAAAAACAATAACAACAATAATAGTATTAACAATTGCAACAACAGTAGCCTCAACAACAACAACAACAACAACAACAACAATTATAATAATAACCAGATCGATGACGACAACGATGACAGTGATGGTGATATTGGTGATCAAGATAACAATGATAAAGATGGCGCATGTGGTGGTAATAATGATGATGATGATGATGATGATGATGATAGTGTTAGTGGTGGTGCTGGTGGTAGTGGTGGTGATAGCAGTGGCAGAGGTGGTGATAGTGACAGTGACAGCGATAGTAACGACAATGACGATGATGATGAGGGCGATGGCAACGATGACAGTTCTTATATTTATTATATATAATAGTTTATTTATATTTATTTATACGATAGTTTATTTATATAAACTTTTTATATTTAGAACTATAGAAGTAATGGTAGATAAGAAACAGTTTAAAATATTTGTTTAACAAAATAGATTGTTTTTTTAATTTAGAGAATAATAAAGTACGATTACATTAAAAATTAATACATATTTAGATGTAACTTAATCTTTGCATCTTACTGTAAAATAAGTAAGTTCAATGGATTTATGTTAATTATTTGTATATTGTATATGTTTTTAATTAATTTAATATTTTAATATAATATTATATTTAATATTACATTATAAAATTAAAAATATTATAGAAAGAATAGTAAATTTGAAAATATAACTCATAAGTAAATTCTCCGAGAAAAATTACATTTAATTTTCTAAAAAATATTATTTGTATAAACAAATGTAGAAATATATATTTAACAAATTTTAATGTTGATTATTGTGGCAATTTATTACTCATTTATAACATTATTGTTTTATTGTTCTGTTCCAATCGGAACTGAATTACAAAATTATAAAAAAATATAGTAAAGTCAATAAAATATATAGTTATTTGCTCAATGATAAAGATATTATTATTACATATTTATACCATGATGTAAATTAATCATAATCAACTCGTTTATAAATTGAAATATTACTGAATAGTAATGACTGATAACGTGTTTTATTGAAACAAGTAATTACGGTTACAGAATATATAATAAGAAGGCAAAATTGCAATTTATAGCCGGACGTAAACAATTTATGTATACGTATAAACTTAGTGCATGAAATGAAAAAATAAAATATATTTCATTCGGGTGAAATTTATTAACATATTATTAACCTAATAATTAATATTATTAATTGTCATTAAATAAAACAAATACTAAAAATACTTATATACTTTTCAACACTGTTTAAAAGTAAATAATTTAAAAAGCAATAATTAGTTTAAAAAACGAATATTTATAAAAATACATTATCTTTCAAATTAAAATTTAAACGCTGACTATACTCAAATATTAGTTTATTAATTCATATCTCATATAATAATACTTCTCTATTTTATTATTAAAACCATATTTATAGTTACATCAAAATATGATATACTGCATAATTTTGTTAATATCTGATAGATTGATAATTGTATATCTGACCATTCTAAATAATAATATTTAACCAAAGCTTAAAAAAATATTGAAGTTACAAAAGAATTCTACATTTATTAAATAATCAATTACATGCACGTTGTGATATTTAGTAAAGAAACGATTGGCTTTATTTTACCAGCTATTAGAATATTTATCAATTGTAAATAAGTTTTTGACATTATATCATCCCGTTCGTTTGAATAAAATATTAAAAAATCGATTATAATTGTTTATGTCGAATGTATCATGCACAATTCTTTGCCACTATTCTTTAATTCAAATGTTTGTCAAATACAATGTCTATTGCAAAACCTTTATGCGTCTACTAAATGCTACCTAAAATTAATATAAAAATATCGTATATATGTCGAAGAAATATTATAATAATTCCAATAAATATGAAGCGTCGAAAAGAAAAGAAAAGCCTATGAAACACCACTGTAGTTTAAATAAATGCGCCGTGCGATAGCACAGTGAATATGAAAAAAAAAAAAAATTATTGCGCCACCTATGTATGCTAGTGATACAATATCGAACTACACAGATTTCAACGCCAATCGCTTAATAATAGGCTTAATCATTGACTGAATTGGACATCTTTGTTTACCGACGTGCTGTCTTACATGCCATGTATTACAATAATTTACTGGCGTTGTAAACGCACCCTAACTGTTTATTGTAGATGGCACCATGTCCCGCGCACTCTCGCCAAACAATATTCTATATACACAAGAAACACACTCATCAGCCATAAATCACACTCTCTCCTTTGCATGTAACGCACACGGGCGAATCGAAGGAACACCTCCCGCCACGATAGTTAATCTGGTATACGTGATGATGTGAGCAAATGTAGTGGTAGTGCGTGCGCGACTCCGATCCAAATTCCAAAACCCAAGAAGTAACAGCAGAATATTTAAAACAAAAAATAAAAAAAAAATTAAAAAAAAAAACAGAATAAGACGAAAGGGAAGAGACGATGGCGACAACGGCTCAGTATCCGATTAGACGACGGCAACTTTAAATATTCAACCAGCATCTCTTAAATCATAAACTGCCTGTTATACCTGTTGTTTAACCCTACGCGCACTTCAGGCAGTTTGCATAGCAAACCGAAGAAAAATTCGAAAGCCGAGTACCGCGAGACCTGCGGAGCGAACGCCTCTCGCCACGCGCAATTTCATCGTGTGCTACTACATAATATATATGTATAGATATATGTATAGATATATGTATAGATATATGCATATATAATACATACATATACATATACATATACATATACATATACATATACATATACATATACATATACATATACATATACATATACATATACATATACATATACATATACATATACATATACATATACATATACATATACATATACATATACATATACATATACATAAATATATATATATATATATATATATATATATATATATTTATTTATTTATTTATTTATTTATATAGTATATAATCATATATCTGTAAATGGGTGTATATACATATATGCATACACACATAAACACACACGCACACGCACACATATATATATATATAGATAGATAAATAGATAGATAGATAGATAGATAGATAGATAGATAGATTAGTAGATAGATTAGTAGATAGATATAAAATGTATATTATGCGTATATACATACAAACGTTATCGCAGTGAATCCAAATCCGGAGGGATCGAGGTGAATGAAGGAAATTGTGAGAGCGAGAGAGAGAGAATGTTATTCTGCCTTCGAAGAGACAATTTGACTTCATCGTCTTCGTCGACGTCGTTACAATCGTCGTCGCCGTCATCGTCGTTGTTGTCGTCGTCGTCATCGTTATCATTGTCGTCTTCGTTGAAGTCAAAACTATTGCTGTCGTCTTCGCGAAGCCCATTGTTGTTCTCCCGGAGCAAATCGCAAGCAATTACGTTCACGCATTGCTATATATTGGATGAAGAAATATTTTGAAAAGTGATCGATATAAAGGATTTTCATCGCTGCGCAGAGCGCACAAATTTTATGGTTATTTTAAATGACCGGAATTCGATCGATGAAGATACGAATTGCAAGTGACCGAAGATTTTCATAAGATACCTCAAGTGATTTCATTGAGAAGAATAGGTGTTTCAGGATTGTTGTGTTTTGTGTGAAAAATGAGAGCAATTTGGTTTTAATTTAAAACTAATTTAATAGCTTTTTGCAATTACAATATAGTTTTATTTAATTGGTTATGATATAATAGTGAGCAAATAAAAATTTTACTAGGAATAAAAATACTTGATCAAATATATTAGAAGAAATATTCAAGTTAATATATGAAAATACTATTTAAGCTATTATCAAACTTCTTTGTTTGAAGCAAACATAGAAGAAGACTTATATTTAATAATCGAGCGTTAGTTATGTTGAAACATTATTTCTTTATGCCCCTAACTGCTTTGTAAAAGTAGTCACAATTTTATTCAATATTAAGAAGGTAATTGATTGATTATTAAAAAACGAAATAACAATTCATTCATAAGTATAACAAACAGCAATTGCTGCTCATTATTATATAGTCATTAAAATTTCAATATTATATTCAAGAATCAATGATAAATCTAAAAATAATGTTCACTATGAAGACAGTTATTGTGTTGATAGAGTTGAAAGAATATATATAATTTTATGATCAGCTTATTAAACTAATAGTTCTTGTTCCAATTCGTGTAATATATGGTAAGTAAAAATAAATCAATATAAGCTGAAAACATTATACAAAATTAATTTTTTTTTATTTTTAATTGACAGATTACAAAGTTACTTTCAAAATAACTTTTACATAAATGAAATATTGTAATTATTTCAAAAATAAACGATCGATTTAACAATTCGCTAACCTATTAATAAAATCTATATTTGAATAGTACAATTATAATTTTGATAAAAGTTGTAAAAACATATTTTTGTGATTTACAAACCCATGAACAGTCTTAGAAAGTTAGTAAAATATCATGTTAGAAAGAATATTGGAGTTCGGATGAAAATTGTTTATCAAGAAATGAATGCATTGCTGAACTTGCCAGAAAAAAATATAAAATTTTAGAATAATTTTATATTTTCAAATTAAGTTTTTATAAAGATTTAACTTCAAAATAAGATAAATTTATATCAAAGGAAGAATGGCATTTCGTATTACTTTGGAGTGTGGCGATTCATCTTGCTTACGTACCAAAAAGACCCAAGAGGGCTACACTCATGATTGGGAAGTTTTTGTCAGAGGAGTAGACAATGCTGCTGTACATCATTATATCGAGAAAGGTATGTTTTAATTCACCATTTGTAAATGTTTATAATTAATGCTAATAGTTCTCTTCATTAAAATTTAATTAACAATTTTTTGAAATAATGATCAAATTGCTTGAGTAATAATTGTAATCTAACTATTTACATAGGAAATATTTGAAATATCACAGTTCCGATGTGTTAAAAATTTTCATAATGATTTTTAATGATTATATTATTTCAGTTGTGTTTAATCTTCATGAAACCTTTCCAAAGCCTAAACGAGTCATAAAAGAACCACCATACAGTCTTAAGGAATCTGGATATGCAGGCTTTGATATACCAATTCATATATACTTAAAAAATAAAAATGAGCCAAAACGGTTTGAAATTATGTACAATTTGAACCTGGAAACAAGTGCTCCAGCTATTAGTCATGTCACACATCATAATGAAATTATTGTCAATCCAACGGATGAATTTCGAAAAAAATTACTCAAGGGTGGTGCTGTAAGTATTTGAAATTTTAATATAATTTAAAATTTAATTTTCTAAATTGAAATAACTAAATTTATATTTTAGACCCCCATATCAAGCACTGAAAGCACATCGGAAAAAAATGAAGTTAAAACGCTACCCATGGTTGGTAAGCCGAAACTTAGTGGTAACGAGGGAAAGAAACATCGAATATCAGAACCAAAAACATCCAATCCTTTTAACGATTTATTTGGCATTCCTATAAAAACTGCCAAGATATCCCAGGACAACAAAAAAACTTCTGAAAAATCGTCGAGCGTAAAAAGTAGCGTTATTCCTGACAAGTCTGACAAAACTGATAAAAGTACAAAGGTTAAACATAGTCCTCATAAAGACAGTAAAAAAGAAAAGTCGTCAGAAGAACGAAAGGAAAAGAGAGATAAGGATAAGGATACAATAAAAGAGAAAGAGAAAATCAAAGAAAAATCAAAAAGGTCTTCAAGCCCAAGTAATAAGGTAAATATAATAATAGTTTATATGAAGTTCGTGTAAAGTTGCATAAATATATATATTTATTTATATATCATAAAATTTGAAAAATATACTACAATATAATAAAACAATTTTTTATTAAATGCATATATGTTATTTAATATAATGGAAAATTGTATCAAATAATTCAGTAGAAAAATTAATTTAAGTGTCAATTTTTTATTTTACGTTTTTTAAGCGTATAAAATATAAAAGAACATAAACTTCAATATAATAATGTTTCTGATATGTTTATAAGCATTTTTTTCTTGAAACTCATTAGAGTCATCAGAGTTCTGATAGTAAAAGACCATCATCACCATCTCCAATGAAAAAACCAATAACACCTCCACCCATTCCAAAAAGACCATCTTCGCCCTCCTCAAAACCAAAAGAAAAGGATTCCAAAAAGATCGTAGAATCGGAGAAGGAAAAAGAAAAAACCAAGGAAAGCTCGAAAAATACCTCTGAAGAGAGTAAAAATGAAAAAAATGAGAAGGAAAGTAAAAGTGAACGCAAAAAAGATAAGAAGAAACACAAAGAAGATCGAGATAAAGAAAAGAAGGAAAAGTACAAGGATAAGGAGCGAGATAAAAACAGAGATAAAGATAGTGTAAAAAATGTAGAAAAAAAAGTAGAAAAATCAGAAAAACTAGAAAAAGAAAAATCATACGAAATAAAACATTCGAAGGACGATAGAAAGTCCCCAAGACCTGCCAAGGAAAATGAAAAAATTAAGGAGGAGAAAATTTCAAAGTCAGATAAGTCAGAAAAGAGCGAAAAATCTGAAAAACAAAAAGAATCGAAAAGTGAAAAATCTGATAAACCGAAACATAAGCATAAAAAGAGAGATAAAAAAGATAGAAGAGATGGAAGTAAAGAAAGGGAAAAGAAAGAGAAAAGAGAAAAATCAAAGAGTTCGAATGAAAAGCAAAATGAAGTAACAAATCAGACATCAACTACTTTGGTAAGAAGTAAATTTTAGCAAATTTAACAATAATTTAAATTAAAAGATTAATTCTCGTTAGTATTTTTATCATTTTCGTAGGTAGACGAATTAAAAGTAAATAGCGATGAATCTATGTAATTCATTGTAAATATAATATTAAAGCGATTGCTAATAAAAATGCACAATTTGTATTGTAAATTAAAGAAATTATTTATATAATTTTCAGATAAATAACAAAAACATTTATTATAAAAATTCGAAGTAATTTTTTATAATTTTTCTGTTGTATTAATTTTAATACTTTAACGACTAAATAGGTTTATATTTATTTAAGATTGATACTCGAATAGTCAGTTGATTTAAATAAATTAATAAAAATAGTTTTAAAGTATTTATTTATATATTTATTTTATTTTTTTTTTACAGGTAACATCACGTATAACAGATGTACAAGAGAGAGAAAGCACTGATTCTACTGGATCTGCCGATGAAGATACCACAATGGAATCAAGAACAACCACGGCTGTGAAGAAAGAATCCGTCTCGTCAGTTCCACCGGCTGAAATAATCAGGGCGATGTCTCCACCGCCACCACCGGCTAACGACATAAAAAAGGACAAGAGCGAGAGGAAACGCGATCGCTCGAAAAGTACCAGGGAAGACAGAGAAAGCAAAAAGAAGAAGAGGAAAAGCGAGAACAAAGGTACAATACGTAATATATTTTTTAATTTAATTGTAAATTTTCCCTTACAATTTTTAAATTGTACGAATCATTACATTTCACATTACATATAATACTAAACATTTTATTTCTTATGCTAAAAAACTTTAATTTCATAGTTTTCGTAAATACTACTGCAAATAAATTTCAAATATTTGTAGTTTTATTTTGTGAAATATTTTGCTTATGCATACGTACGATTTGTTGTATGTAAAATAATAAATATACGCTTTCGCTTATATTTATTTATGCATAAATGTCGATTATAACGTTCTTTTAATCATAATATATAACTGTAACATTTGTTAATTCTTACTTTAATTCATTAATATAACGTAGCGATTAGGACATATCGAATAAGAAAGAAAGAAAAACATCTCAAATACTCCACATTATTTACTTTTAATTGTTCAGTTTTTGGTGAGGAAGAAATTGTGAAGAAGAGCAAGGACCGAGATCACTCTAGTTCACCTTTAGTCGAACCAGTTTCTTCGAGTCAGTCCCCAATAGCAACAAATATAGACACGGTACACGTGTCCAAAGTGAAACACACGGATGATCAAATGATCAATGAGCCGGCAATTGGAGATAGCGAGCAAGTCGCCCCTGATTCGACAAACAGTACACTTGTTGACACCGAGGAGCCTCTCGTCTTTTCCGAGGATTACGTGTCGCAACTAAAGGATCTCCAGCAGAAGATTATGACTTTGCAGGATAATCAGGAACTACAGAGGGTTGTACAAGTGATTGCTGAGACTGGCCAGTACGAGATTACCAAGAAAACTTTTGACTTTGATTTATGTGCATTGGACAGACGGACCGTTCAACGACTCCAACAGTTTTTCGCTTCGTGACCAACTGTTGGTTAAGGTATGGCCATTAATATGGGATGAAATATTATTTATACCTATTATAATACTTGTATAGATAAATAAAAATATAATAGATATATTGTAGATTATTATGAGCTTTAATAACAATAATGTTAAATACAATGTGATACAGTACAGCTCGTTTATTGGAAAAGTTATTATTTTAAATAGCTTCCAAGCAATGCAATGTAATTACGAATAGAAAAAGCTATCTTAATTATGTTTTTGCGTTCGTATTATCAAGATTATTTAATTAATATGTATGAAAAGTGCAAACATAATTAATTAACATAATTAATCCAATTGTGAAACTTATCGATAAATTTACGAATGTACAGAAAAAAAGCTAATGAAATGTATTTTATTTTAATAAGTCTTAAAAAATTAATTAATTCAAACTTATCAATTTATCAATCTATACATAGAATCGATTTATAAATACTTATTGTCATTGAATAATATATTTTTAATGAATTAAAGAAAAAATTAATTCATCATAAATATAAAAGTAAATTACATGTATTAGTATCTGAAAAGTATTTGAAAGAAAGTCTTCAATAAAACTTTGTCGTTTAAAATATTTTTATATTAAAAATACTAACCTCGCAAAAATCGCAATAATGAAGGGAACAGGTAATACATTGACAAATTCGTCTAAACCAAAAATTATTAGTTACAATATATATATATATATATATATATATATATATATATATATCGCCTCAAATTTATACTTTTTTCATGATTATTATGTATTCTTTAAAATAGAATTGTATGCTCTATTTAATTAATACATATCAACTTGATTAATTTTTAGCTTCATTATTGACCAATGCAGCATCAATTCACAATCCAAACTAAAGCAGAAAAGGATTCAACGAAAATGTAGAGAAAAAAAATCTTGTAGCTGAATAAGGAGAAAGATTCCATATGGTGAAAATGCACAAAAAGGAAACATATTCTGTAAATATTTATGTCAGCGTCTCGGTGTTATAAAATAGACATTAAAAGTTATTAATATTATTTAAATATAGTTAAAATATTATTAAAGTAGAAATGAAATGGCAAGCATATTAGTGTGATTCGCATGAAATACAATGCAGTGTTTCACATGATCGTCTAGATCGAAGGAAACGTGTTTTGTTTGATTACGCTACATTTTTAGTAAAAGAACTGTATTTAATTAAAAGACGGAATTTTTATTTTTCTTAATGTATAAAAATAATCATGTTGACAAACGATAAGTTTAATTTTTATGCAATTTATTTTTAAATACTGCTGCAATAATTCATCATAATTAATGTTTTAATTATTTAATTGAAACCTGAAATTTAAACCTTGGGTTCCTGAACCTAATATTCACCAAGTTTCTAGTCAGGTATCCCGTCACCTCGTCAACATTACAATTCTTCCGAAAGAATTTAGTGGCAGCCATAGCCTTTTTCTCTTTTCGCACCAGTGACGGATAAACGAGCATTGCCTTCAAATACGTTTATCAAACAGGTTTCATCTAGAACAAATTCATGTACATCCCTAGCTGGTATCTTTTTAACGGATTAAATAACTCGTTGTACAATAATTTGATTAACATTCGTTTAATTTAGCCGGGATTTCAATTTAAATCAATCTCATTCCCAATTTTTGATATAGTTTACTACATATATAAGTGAACAATTATAAAACATCAAAGATATTTGGAGTAAGTTGTTGGAAACTTTTTTAAAAACTATTATCCGAATCATCGGACAATCCATATCATTGGCACGGCGAAACTTTTGTCAAGACAACTAAATCTATCTTTTTTCGTACTAGGTCTCTTAATATAACGATCTCCGACGTTCTTGTAGCTTTATTAGATTCTTCTTCTTCTTTTATTTTAGCCCCTTTTGCAAATTCTTCGATTATTGTTGATCAATGCCATCATAGGGCCCAACTCGTAGGGCAAAGAGAGAATCCTCGTACAAACATCGAACGAATCGTACGAATAAGAATGTAACTTTGAACCAGCAAGTAATTCAGGTATAGGTTTACATAGTACGAAATAGCCTGGCCTCTATCCATTAATGACTCATTAAGATTTCCAATAACGGTATAATGTTCAAGCAATGCTTTTGTAAAGGCCATAAAAATAATAAGTACTCTTACCATCTTTATGAGACTTTCAGATATTGAGTACACTATGATAATTTTGTATTCCAAGTGAAAATTTCTTACGTACCACTCCGTAAAGTCCGAAAGTCCAATGGTCCAAATACACTTTTCAATTCACTCTTTTTTCAATTAAAACCATTATATTTTTTAAAAACAGCCAGCTAGAGTGACATCGATCGTAATGTTCAATGACGCAATGTTATTATCTACCGTTTTTCCAACTAATAAGCATTTAACAAATGTAGCATGTTGAATGCGTCACCTCACCAGCATAATCAACATATACACTAGTTTTCGATTGGAAATCAAATCGTAATTTCAGAAATTGTAGGAAGGAGCGTCGCACTCATACCGTCAGAGACTATTTATTCTGTTCGAGATACCTTTAAAAAAAAAATGACTACTTTCTCTTCTTACAAAAATGTTATTTAATTGAATTAATTGATGAAGAAAATAGAAATACATCAAAAATTTATATAGCAATGAAAATTTATAAACCTTTTATTTTTTAACTGCATAATTTATTTAATGTACTCTTTATCTATAATAGATATGATATTATTTTTCAATATTCTTTATTTATGAAAAAGAATTATATGATAATTACAAATTAAATTTTTATTAGGTAAAGATAAAAAGTTGGTTAAGATCAAATCGTTTATAATATAGAAAATATAATTTAACTAATTTAGATATTATAAAATTATGTTTCAACTATTACAATTCCTTGTTATTTAAGTTTAGGATAAAACAATAAATTTAATTCATTATGATGTAAACAAGAAGTGTCTTCTTTAAAAACGAATTAAAATTAAATAAACATTGCAATTTGAAATGCAATTTTTGAAAAATTATCGATTGCTTGATTAATTAATCAATTACAGTGTAGATTGAATAACAAAAAAAAAAAAAAAAAAAAAAAATATGTTCAGTCAACGCGAATGTTACGTATGTTATGGATATAATTGCTTATTATGGGATTAGTCAATTAAATCAAATCTGCGCAATAAAGTGCACTGTACAGTGTATTGTAAATCATATAAGTTATATAAGTTAGAAAAAGAATTTCAGATATAATTCTAACATATAACTTGAAAAACCAATTATATATAAATTCTAAATACTTTCATATAAATATTTATAAGCGGAAATAAATAATATATTTGTTTATATCATCTATAAATACATCAAATTATACAATGAAATAAAGCGAATATCTTTTAATAGTTTGCAAAATGTCATTTTTATTTGCGTTATTTTTTTTTTTTTTTTAATATATGCTGAAACAATTACTTACTAGTTTCTCAAATTGTTATATTGTGTTAATTTCGAAACTTAAATGAATCATTGATTTTCATATTTATAAAAATATAAACTATCTTTTTATGATTCAAAGAAAATTAAATTTTTTTTTACTAAATATTTCATAACGATGTTGCCATAAATGATAATCATTCGATTTTTTAAATAAATCTTAAATTTAAATTTGTGAATTCTTTTCTTATATAAAATACAATCGAATAAGATCTTTTTATTAGATTGTTATTAAACGACGTTTCGTTCTATAAAGAAAATACTTTCAAATTTGACAACAAAAGAAATTAATGTTTATACTATCTGAAAATTTTAATTGATTATTTTTTTAAAGAGACTATGTCTTTCAATGGAACAAAATGTAGTTATTTTGCAATTGCTTATAATATATATATATATATATTTCCGGATGTTAACGGTATGATTTTCATGAAAAAAAATTTATGAATTATGAACATTTTTTTTATAAGAAAATTCTATCTTACACTGCACGGTGATATATATTTCATAATTTATATGCTGAATAGAATAAAATTTGTATCAAAATAATGAAAGAATGCTTATGTGCCAAATAAAATATATTCCGGTTTTTATTGAAAATCTTAAAAATTCAAAAGCCAAGACTAAAAATATAATTTGAAACTGTAAATTTTAATATTCTAAAATATATTAATTTTTCTGTAGCATTTGAATTTAATTTCCATAGTTATTATCAAATCTAAAATTGATTCAATAACATACGAGTCACATAAAATTCCTTAAAATTTATTTTGTTTTTCATTTTTTGTATTTCAAATAAATGAATGATAATAATCTACGCATAAAAAATAATTACCATACTTGTATTTATTAATTTTATCTGTAAATGTAAATTAATCTATGTTATTTTGGCTATTAAATTATGTTAATTTTTATTATTATTTCAAACTCTTCATTCAATTGAACTAGTACATGAATTTAAATTTTTTTTTAAGTTTTTCAAGTTTTACAAATGAATGTGATTAAAATCTTATAACTTCTTTTTTCAAGCGACCTATAATTTCTCAAAAAAAAAAAAAAAAAAAAAAAAAAAAAAAAAAAAAAAAAAAAAATGAAAATCAGCATATTTTGACACAAAGGTACTGAAAATAATGTTTAAATTGATTTTTATAAAATCGTATATTATCGTAAATTTCAAAATTAATGGTAATTTAGACGTTTATTATATTTGTAATATTATTGAGTTTAAAGACATCCAATATTTTCATTACAGTACAATTAATTTAAAACATATATAAATCGATCGTTTCTTTTTTTCTCAAAAATTTGAATATATATATTTTTTCTGTATATATACCGAAAAGTTCATATCTGCGTTTATAAAATACGCTAGGAAAGAGAAATTGGAGGTGTTAAATTTTTTAATAAATACAATTTAACCGCATTATTTGAGATTTTATACACATTTTACACCGTAAATCTATATCAAATTGTATATTAGCATTTACAAATATATTGTTTACTCTCTTATTTAACTTTTATAAAAGAAAAATTATAACTATTATAAAAAAAAAGTAATTAATTAATATGGCTACCGTAAATCAATGGGTAAACTATTTTTCTATAAAATATACAGAATTCAACAAATAATCAAACAAATTCTCTTTTAATGATCATGTACTATTTTAATCTCATAATCTAATATTATAACAAGTTGTAAATTAGTCTTTAAATAGCTTTAATTGAATTTCAATAACGTATACTTTATTGCGATTGCTGAAAAATTAATCAATCAATAATATGGTAATTATATGTTTTTATTAAAGCATTTGTTCACAAATAAAAAAATAAAACAACAAAAATTAAATTCGAAAATCGAATGTATGCATTAGAAAATCATTTGTACAAATTATTTAAATAAATAATAATTTTAAAACAAATAGAATCTTCAAATACTATAAAATTTCTACTTTAAAATTATTAAAATGATTTATTATTTCAAATAAATGATATAACAAATTATGAAAGATACCAGCACTCTCAAAAACTTTATTCTCATTGCACAAGCGTACAATCATGTTCAACGATTATATATATAAATAAAATAGAATGGAATACATCATACCTTATCAAACGTACGTATATTCAATACAAATAACATCTATAAATATTTTTAAATATAGTGTGCAAAATCAGACATGCATAACGGGTGAAAATTTCAATACAAATAATTCTATAGCTATGTTCACTCAATGCATATGGCAAGTATTTCATGAGGAAATATTACTTGAATTTAAATGCACAAAGTGTATACATTGCATGAGTGAATTATGTGCGCGCGCGCGCGCGCGTGTGTGTGTGTGCGAGCTCGCGCGCCATACATGTATGCATGTACACAGTACGCATCTGTATTTTTCACTTACCATGCGTGTTTGTTGATTTAATAATCGTTAATTTGTGTTGCGTCTTCACTAATTGATTAATAATTTATTTTTGTTATATCTTAGTGAATTACAATCATGAAAAGTTGAGAAAAAAAGAAAAAATATGTTAATCTTTTTTCTACACTGATTCTGAATCACGCAGAATTATGTATTAGATGTGTACATTAGCAGAAAAATTTATTTATAATTAACTTATACATAATGTAACGTAAAGCCTACATTTATTAATAGTGAACATGTATGATATTTAAATGAATAAAATATATGTAAATTTAATATTTTCAAACATTAAAATACTCCTTATTTTACCTTTATTCATAAAAATGATAACATTAAGGGGTAAATTTTTTCTACGAATTATTTATTAAATATATATAAAAAGAAATAAAAAATAGAAATATTATTAAAAACGCATTAAAATTAAAATTAAATATGTTAATAAATGTTGTATATGTTAATAATAAGTAAATTTTTTCTTAGTGCATAATATAATGTACGTTTTCCTGACTGATATTGCCTATTTTGAGCAAAAAATGAAATATTTAAGCACTATAATAAGGTGTTTATATTTTTCTTTTTTCTCTTTGATATTATATGAATATGAACGAAAAAAGTGGTATAAACTATTAATTCACGATTCGATATTATATATGAATATAATATATGATTATACAACATTTTTCAGGCAAAATAGGTGCGGTTGTACTTTTAAGCGGTCGACTATCGACGGCAACTTTTCACAAATGTTTTTGACACTTTCTATGTAGAAATTTGTTCATTTGCGTATACCGAGAAGGAAATTGTAAACAAATGTTCGTTTGTGCGCAATGGAATTTATATAGTTAAATTATAAGATTTATTAATATAAGTAGACGTGAATAAACTGAATTCATCAAGTATATTTATTGTACTTTCTTGTCCTTATAGTGTCTAATATTGAATTATTATTTATAATTTTATTTATAGATACATTCAAATTTATTTGAATATATTAAAACATGTATTATTATTAAATTTGTTATTATAGTAATTTATACTCTATTAGTTATTGAACATTTATTTTATTGATTTAAAATAATTTTTTTCATAATGAGAATACGCGGTCATTTATTAGAAAACTTAAAAAAAAAAATAAAAATTGAAAATGTAGAATAAATCGGCTTTAATAAATCCTAGTTTAACAATATGAATATACATTAATTACTTAATGTATGAACACATTCGATAGATTTTTATATTTCAAAAATTCAACTTCGAAACTGCATAATCAATAGTTAAAATTTATATAAGTTTATTCATAAATAAACTTTTTTATGAAATAATTGACAAAATATAATAAAAATTTTTCATTATAATATCACTATTGTCAGGATATAGAATATTTAAATTTGATTTAATTACAATAAGTATATAAACACTTTTTAATGTATGTAAATTTAAAAATTATATTTATATTAAATTTATAACAATTATTATTTTTATTTTAAGTAATATATCCAGTTTGGTGTAGAGAGACAATATAAAATACTGTTGAACACCATTCCTTTAATTATTCGACGATTCTTTATTTTTCTAAAGCCTTAAGATACCAACATTGTATGTACGAAATAAATTTCTATTTATTTATGATTTACTTTATAATTTAAACAAAATTTTAACATTATTCTCAATATTATGTTTTATTCCATAAAGATTTTCATTTATAATAGCAATTATAATAAAGAAATTAATATATTAGTAATATAAAACTTATGTAGAAATTAATATTTACACTATAATTTTTTATATTTTTTTATTTAAAATAAATTATAACAAAAAAAAAAAAAAAAAAAAAAATAACCAAAATTTACTGCTGTGAAGCTTTATTTTGATATTATAAAGTCGGCAAAGAGTGATCGATGATCGAAGAAATGTTTTAATTATTGGTGATAAAATAAAATCAATTTTTAATAAAAAGAATCTTATCTACAATAATATGAATTATATCGATATCTCTTTTTAAATTTAATTTAATTTCTGCTGCTTATGCTATTTAAATTACTTTTAGAATGTTTAGAAACCATTCGAATTCATAACCATATGAATAAATAGAAAATTTAATAGCGATGTATTGTTTTTTAAAATTTTAATTTGATAAATTAATTATTATCTTACTCATAAACTTTCTACTACGGTTATAGTTTAAGACAAAAAGAAATTTTTTATTTAATCTCGATAAATTATATCAAATATTTACCAAATGTTAATGAATATTGGCATTTTTTTTCAAATCTAACTAGAATAATAATTGAATTGCAATTAACACTTACAAAGTTAATTTGTTTAATGAAAACAAGTAAATAAAACGAATATAGATTTAATATATGCCATCTAATAATAATACCTATGATGAAAATACATATTTCTTTTACTACAAATATTGGCAAATTGCCAGAAAAAAATAAATAATTAAATTATTTGTTAGTTTCAAGGTATTAAAAATGAACAATATACGATATCAATTTTATATCAAAACGTTTATTACATTAGCTAGAATTGTAAAAATTTTTTTTAAAACGTCCCATTATTATTATTATCATTATCATTATTATTATTATCATCATCATCATCATCATCATCATCATAATCATCATCATCATCATCATTATTATTATTATTATTATTATTATTATTATTATTATTATTATTATTATTATTATTATTATTATTATTATTATTATTATTACATTTCTTAAACAATTGTGCATCTTAATATATTAAATCACAAATTTTTTTAAAATCAATATGTAATATAACAGTAGCATTATTCAGTTAAATACATGATACAACAAGAGCCCGTATAAATAGGGAAGGATTAGTTATCCTCGAATTCAAAAGCTTTGAAGCGATAAACAAATAAATCAGGTACCTTAGGCGATAGCCTTACATATTGTATTAATGCGATTAAGAGCACATTGTCACTAAATTCGAAGAGACTGTCGAGATTATTTACAAATGATTTTTGCAGGCAAAAAGAGTAATGCAAAAACGTAATTAATTGAACAGAGATAGATACAAATGACGCAAGGAAATACTTATCTGAAAACGGTATAAAAGCGTCTTTTCGTTATTATCTATTTTCGATACGTGTACTGCAGGCGTTATCAGTATCAGAAACAAGTAAGAAATCGTTCACGATCCCATCCAAAGCATCAAGTTATTATAAATTACACATCTACGTTGCAAATTTATATCCCTTTTCCTAAGATCAACTGATTTGATAAGTTTGGGCGCGCGCGCTCACGACAACATGTCACACAGCGACACTCGACAATTTCACAAACCGAGAACTTTATCAACTGGTCGCATCGTAGAAATCGTATCAGCACATCCGTCAAAAAGAGCCAAGAAATACTTAAATAAAAGATTTCTCGTTGGTACACAAAACAAAGAACAATCAAATCACCCATGACAATAAGCCTCAAGGTAAACATAATGCATGATATTATCATAACCTAAAATGACAAAGTAAAACAGGTATTATTTATTTTCATTACTTTTTTTTTTGCCTTTGTCAATTCTTTAATTAATAATTTTATTTTACATTGCATATACGATATAGTGATTTTTCAATTATATAAAACTCGATATTGTATGTGAATTTTATCGGTAATTTTTGTGAATAATTCAAGATTTGAATACAATTAATTGGATTATGGTGATATATTCTTTTCTTTTTTTTTATATATATATATATAGATTGGTTTAGATGTTAAAAAAAGTTGTCGTAATTCAGAGAGAGATATAACAGGATGTCAGAAGAGAATCACACAAGGGAGAAAAGACAATTATTACAGAATCTTCGCTCTACGGTCGAAGGTTTATTGACTAACGGAGTGTCAAATGTGTGGAATATATATGGAGGGTTAAATCGCTTACACGGTATAATGGAAAGAATTTTTAAACATGGTTGTCGAATATTTGATGCATCCGTAAGTGCAAATGTATTATATTAATATTTAAAAACATTTTAAATGTAATTCTATACCTTTGCTTCCTTCCTTCTTTTAAAAAACTAATATCAATAGCGAATGTATTATAAATAAATATTCATGTAATGTAATATGGGTGGATTTATAGAATAATTAATTTTTCACTTCAGGGCGAGCCTGATTGTTGGTCGTTTATTCAAGGATTGAACTGGCTTCAGCCTTCATTGGCAACTTCACCGACAATTCGTGACTGCGATGAGTATCATGCCAATTTGCCAAATAGAATTATATCGCATAAAGATATTTTGTGGTTATATAAAAGGTATGTATTTAACAATATAATGCATATAGTAGTTTGCAAAGCATTCGTGTAAAGTCAATGATTTTCAGTTTAGAAGATCATTCCTTGTCGCAGAAGCTGTCGTGGCTTTTGTCTGATAAAGAACATATACTTTCCTGCCTTGAACCATGGTCCTTTCTTTGCCAAGGAAATTTAGCCGAAGCCACTTTAGTCTGCCTGCGAGCTGTCGAAAAGAATGAACCAGCCTTATTAACCGAAATAGATCCATCTTTGGTAATGAAATAATATATTCCAAACTGCGTATATATAATTAAAATTGGTAACACCTTTTCAAAAAATTAATTAATACAATTAATACCTTAGATCTTTAATATTTTTATTAATTTTCAATATAATATAATAAAAAGCACTACAATATACCATAATAAAAAATTTATATTTCAAGAAACATAATTCGTGAATGTATGTTTTTAACATATAAGCTATATACAAAATATCGATTCTTACGTACATTTTGCTATTACATAGCTATTAATAGCAAGAGTCTTATGCAAATTTTAGTTAATCGTATCGTAACATTTATCTCTTACTCGAAAGTTTTATTTAATTACCGTCATTAGCCTGATGAATTACAATTATATAAGAAAATTGTAATTTTGTATCTTTGCCTTAGTGCAACCAGATCAATTAATCTACTTTGTTTTTATTTATTTTCTATTTCGTCAATTTCTCGGAAATTTCGGCAAATTTTCAGTCTCGTCAATCGAGCCTCTCGTCCAAATTCGAGATCGAACTTTTTAATTGAATTTTGCAAAAAAGTGTAAAGTGCAATTACACTTTTCAAAATATTGTCAGTTCTTATACCAATATCGTGTAATTTTTAAGTATTATATATTTTATTTATCAAATTATTTGCTATAATATTTACGAATAACCAATAATTGCATTAACTAAAAATCATAATAATCCTTTTGATTTGCATTTTCTGAAATCAATGCCGGTTATTATTAATTCTTAAAAATCATTTCACTCAATTTCTAACAATTTTAAAATCAATCGGAATCCATTTTTCTGGTTGGCACGTAGATGTTTCAATCCTATTAATAATAAAACTTTATTTTTATGTACATTTAAAAATAAAATTCAATAGATAATTAATTTAAAATAAATATTATACAGAGAATAAAACTTAAGTGATTAATATAATTAATCGGTAAAACAATATTTCTTTTATTATGCGGACATTCACCGTTTTTTCTGTTTTAATTAAACAATTTTCTCTCCTAGAGAAATCCCACAAGCTTATATAGCCATTTTATGAATTTCTCTTTTTACCAATCATCGGACATAACTACTAGTAGAAAATTTACTTACAACTAAGAATTATCATTTTTTACAATATTTTTATATATAAAACGAAATTTTTTTAATAAACGTTTCGATACTTATTCTCGTAAAATAGTAAATAAATTGAAAAAGGAGAAGTTTAATTCCCAACAAGTTAAGTATACATTATCGTGTATTATCACATAGTTCGTAAGTATTATGGTGGCTTATATTTTTACAAAAAGTTTAAAACTACTTTTTTTTTTTTTTTTTTTTTTTTTTAATGTAATTATCATAACAAAGAGACGAACGGCCTAATAGAAATTGCTTATTTTCTATTGCAAGGTGATAAGATTATCGATATGATTTCTTCTTATGATTAAGAAATAAATATAATGTCCGATATTTCGATCACTCATTAATTTCATTAACATTTATAATGAATTTGAAGTAACTTTTGATATAATGTTAGACGTAACATTAGATATTGCTGATTATTATTGTCCACAGTTTATTTATTATGCAATATAAATGTGTCGTAAATGAATGCACATTACGAGATATCATTCGAAGGTATTCTCAAAATTCTTGTTTTTATCCCGAATTAGAAAAACAATTGTTTGCCAAAATGTTAATAATCAAAATCAAATAGCGAGAAATAATTTATGAAACTTGATAAATTTGTATAAAAATCTAACGATGATAAGAGAATAATACTTAAAAATAAAGAAAAAATATTTTACTTTTTAGTTTTTACCAAATTGGAGCAGCAAAGATAGCCCGAAAGGAGCACACCGTCGTTCCTCCTCATACCCCGTGAATCTTGGCAAGACGCGTCAGCAAGTGCTCAATTTACGGACAGAGGAGCTTTTGCGCTCAAAAGCACCTAATGATTATACTCCAATTGTTCCCGATGAATTAGATAATATGAAGGCCGCGAGGTCAAAGACGAGCGACAAGCCAGTGAAAGAGGAAACGAGCAGCAATACATCCCTGAAAGCTTGGAGCAGTTTTCCGGAATTAAACGACAATGGCCCCGAGAGCAGCTGTGGGGGCGTTGCAGCGCTTAAGACTATGACGAAGACTATGAGAGCAAAAAATACGGCGGATAAAAGCGTTAAAGATCGTATTTCGCAATCGATCGAATTATCAGACGTGATAAAGGTCGACTATTCCGAAACAAAAGCCGCTGGCGCATCGATGACCACGGAAGCTAAGTGCAATACCGGTTAGTATAAATCCCGTTGATAATTTTCGATTTTCGTTTATTGATCCTTTCATGGACTATTTTATTTTAATTTGATAATAATTGTTCGATAGTTAATTCATACCATCTAAACTATTTTTCTGCTTATTCTCATGTCAATTGAGCAATACGATTTCATAATATAAATTAAGAACATTTTAATTAATGATATTTTATATATGTATGAAGTAGAATGAAAAATACAGGTCATGACAAGATTGTTTTTACCAATTTCTATATATATATATATATATATACTTACCAATTCTAGTTTTGCAATATATTAAAAATCTTGCTTCATTTTAATTATACTTATTGGTAAATATATTTATTAATAATATTATTGGAAATTATATAACAATTCCCATTTTATATAATTTGTAATAATCTTAAAAACTTGCGAACTAATTATTGCTATTTAAAACTATTTTCTAAGTTTCAAGAACTGAAAATTACATTGCAATATTAATAGAATAACTAAAGATTAATATTTTTGTATTGTTGTTCTTAAATTTAGTTAAAAATTTACGAATTATTATATATTATTGTTTGTACGATACTTAAAACTTTATTATTCTATTTATGAACTTGAAATCGATGATTCTTGAAAAGAATTTCTCAATTTATTTTCGGTATGATAATATCGATGTTTTATAAAAAAATATAATTAATAACATTTTCAAAAATATTTATAAATACTTTTAGCGATATATATATTCTTTACGTACTAAAACTATAATTTTTTTTTTTTAAACAAATATTTCAAAGTATTATATTAGAATTTTAAAATAAAATAATAAATTCTAAAGCAAAATAAACAATAAAATCGTTTAATATATATATATATATATATATATATATATATATATATATATATATATATATATATATATAGAGAAAAAATTTTATCAAAAACATATATATATAGTGAAAATTTAATTTCGCAAAATAAAATATTCAAATTAATATGAAGTAATATAAACAATATCAATTAATTTTACAGGCATAAAACTATAAGAATTTTAATTATTAGAAAAAATGTTTATATCGTTCTACTAGTTAATATATTCGTAATATTTGTATATATAATTTCAAATATTTCAAAAGTAACTAAAAATTTAAATCTATGAACATATATCGCACTACTGTTTAAGCCTATTTTTTCTAAATTCTTTTTAAATTCGGTCATAAGATTTAAAAACATAATATTTTTTTTCACTCAATAAATAATATTAATAAAAAGTATAAAGAAATTAAGAATTATCTAAATGCGAAAGAAGTTGATTTTATATTTTAATATTCCTGCTATTTCTTCAAAATATTTGAGTTAAAAAATAATACATATATGTGCAAATGCATTATTTAAAATGAGCGATTTCTTTAACAAAAGTCTTTAAGGATTTATATGAATTACGTAATATATCCGTGCAGATATTTTGTAAATACTTATTATATTATATAAAATAATCATGGAACAAAATTTAGATTTGATTTTATTTTTATAAATCTAAAAAACAAACGCTTACCACTATTTACGTGGCTGTTAAAAATTGCTTTCATTGTACGATTAAATTGATTTTATTTCGTTTATTCTGGTTGTGAATTATTCAATTAGTAGTATGGTTAAACGTTTCAGAGTACACCTACTAAATACTAATTTTCGTTGGAAAATGCAATTCTATATAGTTAGTTATAAACAGTAAGTATTCTCATGCAATTGTAATATTATAAGCAGTGAAAACGAAGTATATGGCAAGAAAGGGAAGGAAGGTTAGATCGGGACTGAGCACTAAGGTGAAAGGGACGATGACGAGTAGCGGTAGCTCAGACACCCTTAACTATGAAGACTCCCTCAGGACAACTGAGAACTCGGCTCGCAGCACAACGGACTCGGTTAAAATTTCGTCGGAGAAGCCCAAACGTATGGGTGCTTTCCTTGTTGGCTCGGCGCCTGAATTCTCCGGCTCTTGGAGTCTTGAAGTTGAAGGTCAGAAAGACCTTCGCACCCCCAAAAAGAGCTTTATCGAGGATGGAGGTAGCAGTGTCTTACCAATGGCAACGGGATATTTCCCGAGGCCCAAAGAGGGACAAAGCCTCACTAGTTTCTTATCCTCGGCACAATTCGCCAGAGCCAATGCCGAGCTCGACCGTGAAAATGCCCATTTCAGTATTTCCGAGGCTATGATCGCTGCCATTGAACAGGTTTGTAAATCATTTATTATAAACGCAAGCTCTAAAGACTTTAGAATAATAATTTTATTAATATAAGCTTTCATTAATTATTTTACATATTATGAGTTATGGGCAACGAATTCACAATTATAATGTACACTTTGCTGTATTCTATAATCGTGTAGATAATACTGTATATCTCTTTGTAGCTTAAGTGTAATAGACAACTACGGCTGGCGGACGAAGCTGTTGATGAGAGCGACGAGGAGATCAACAATCTCAAGCAGAGGATCAGATTAAGACGTCGTCAGCGTCAAGAGGAGCGACGAAAGGGAGGCGACAATGATGGCAACGGAGTTGGCACCTGGACACGCGATCTTCTGAGCGACGGCAAGACCGACAGTGAGTTCTCCTCTTCATCCTTTATATATCGTATCTACAAAATCAACGTTCTGGATTGTGTGAAAACGCTGCGCATATACCTCTAACGCAGCGTCCTCTTTATTTCGCTTATTCAGCAACTACGACCGATCAAAGTATCAGTCCTTTATCCACGTCTCCGGGAACACCCTCCGAAAGCATCTCCACAGACGACGTCGACGATTATGAAATGGATGACGCACATAATTTGTCCCGACTCAAAAATGCTGGTATAATATACTTCAAATAATATTGACAATAATATTTACTGTAAATTTTATCATTTTAACGTTATGTTATAATTCACTGGTATAACAGTAAAATTATACTTAGTCTTATATTGTAAAATTTATAATATTTTTGTTGTTACTTGTACATTATAACGTATCGGTATTAATTGCGATGTTCTTAAAAGATAAGGCGATTGCGTAAAGTTTATTGCACAAAATATTTACTGCGTATGAATATTTTATGAATTAAATAATTTTTCCCTAAGCAAGGTTAGATAAAACGAAATAGCTTTTTCATTTTAATTTTTAAGATTTTTCTTCGGCGAATATGAAAGAGATAAATTTACTTTAAATATAATACATTTACAATAAATGTTTTTAATTTCATAAAAGCATATTTTGCATTTAAATAGAATTTATTTTTAAATATCGATTTTTTTTTTTTTTTAACACTCTGTGTTATTATTATGGCGATTTTTCTCAAGTCGTTAACAAATCCTGAGTAATTCTTAAACCGCGAGTGTTATATTTAAATTTGAAAAACAAATAGAAAAACAAACAAACAAACAAACAATAAAACAAAAATAATAAATAATGATCGTTGGAAATCCATAATATAATGAGTATATTAAAAAATTTCTTTTAGGGTTATCGGTATCGATGGCGTCATTGTATTCCGAAGCTGATCTCTTTCGATCATCTCCGAAACATGGCATAGAGTCAAATTTAACCGATAGTATTATATCCGCAGAAGGAGTTGCCTTATCTTTAATTAGTAGATTTAGCGAAAAACACCTTCCACGAGCAAGCGAACTCAAATGGCTTGTCTCTGAACAAGATGCACCACAACGAGTTAGTATAATATTTATTTATAGATTAATAATTCAATGTTCATATATATCATTTATAGTGCTGAAAATTCAAAGCGACATTATTTTTTCCATTAGGTTAAATAATACGAATTTTAATGCGCTGTATACGGTATGCTTATTACTTATTAAAAAAGAATTTCATTAGGAAAAAAATAATATCATTTAAATTTATTTATAAATTTTTTTTTTAATAAAAAATAATTTTAAAGCTTACGCATAGTAAATTTATTACAGATTAATTAATTTTAAAAATAATTGAGCTATTCTTTATTAAAAATTAATCATTATTAACGTATTATTTTTTTTAAAGTTTTATCTCATCTTTCGAGGTCCTTTTTTATTCATATATCAATTTGGATTTGAATAACTCCATACAAATATACGTACGTATGATTAATTTTAATTGCCGTTCAATTATTTTAATAATAAAATGTCAATAGTTAATATAAAATACAGTGCGGAGTAAGATGATTGAAATTAAAAATATTGAAAGTTAATTTAAGTAAATGCCATTGAGGGTGCCAATTGCGTTATATCTGTAATTATCGTTAAAATTAATATAATAATTTATATAACAGCTGTTACCTCTGCCAAAAAGTTGGCCTGTAAGTCCCGATGACGCTGAATCCGGCGATGTCAATTCAATTTCTCTGAGAGGAACAATTGAATGGGCACCACCAAGGCCTCAAATAATTTTTACTGCACATCCACCCCCTGTGTAAGAGCTTTAATTATTACTATGTATATTATAAATAATTTTTATAAATTTATCAATTAAATCTAAATCGTTTGCTTTCTTTTCATATTGTAGTCAAATTAATTGTTTAATATACACAATTGAAATAAAAGAATCTCTAAGTCTTTAAATATTACAATGAAAAGTAGAAAAATTTAATTAAAACATTGTTTTAGTTTCTTTTTTTTTTAATTTGTGATTTAATGAACGTAGTTTACGTTCATTTCAAGCATCATTTACATATAAAAGGAAATAATAATTAATATATATATATATATATATTGAGATGGTAGTACGAATGTGCTTATATTAATTAAGGGAACCTTCAAATAAAAAAGTGTGTACCGGCTGAATATTCAACAAAATTATGCCATAAGCATAATGTTACAGTCATGTTTTCTTTTTGCAGAAGGCGAATCCTCATAGCAAAGCAAAATTATCGTTGTGCTGGATGTGGTATGAAAGTAGCGGTAGAGTATGCTAATAGATTTCGTTATTGTGAATATTTAGGTAGATATTTTTGTACTGGTTGTCATACTAATCAAGTGACTTTAATACCTGGGAAAATTCTAACAAAATGGGATTTTAATAGGTAAGCTTAAAATACATTTTTTTTTTTTTTTTTTTTTTAAACGTATATTGATATTTTAATTAAAATTTACAATTTATATTGGACTTGGTTAGGTATCCCGTTTCCAATTTTTCCTATAGACTTCTGGATCAAATGACAGTGGACCCACTTTTTCAAGTCAGTGATCTAAATCCAACGTTATATCGAAGAATAAAGCAATTAGATCGTACGAAATTGCTGAGAACTCAGTTGTTTTATTTAAAAGATTTTCTATTCGCTTGTCGCTTTGCCACAAAGTAAATTTACACGTTTTTATTAATATATCCATAAATTACGTATATCTTTTTCTTTTTTTTTTGCATTCTAAAATTATAATTTTAGTACTCAAGAAACGTTAAAAAGAGAACCTAATCATATAATTGCTGATCCACATATTTATTCTATACAAGATTTTACACAAGTAAAAGCTGGTGTACTGCCACTGGAGTTAAATAAATTAGTTCAAGAGTGCCATAAGCATGTCGCTGAATGTGTGGTAAGTAGCAGCATTTTTAAACAAAGATTTTAAATGCTTCTAATATATAATTCTAATTTATAAAATGCAATTATATATAGATTTTAGAATAAATGTAATCATAAGCATATTTTTAACGATATTTATTTATTATTTATTTATTTCTCGTGTAATTAAAGGGTTTATAATGTACATTAAAAAAAAAAAAAAAAGCTAATATCTTATATTCTTTAAATTTATTATAATTTTTAAAATATGTGCAAGACCGGTGTAAATTAAAAAAAAAAAAATGTTAATCCTTATATTAAAAGCGTTACAGCAAGATTTATTATTTTAACAAAAAATAATTTTGCTATTATATTGTTATTTACTTCATTTCAAATTACGTATCAAATAAAAATCTATTATAGATCGTATAAGTATAATTTCCAAAATTACTTCTTGAAAATAATTTTGTTTGTTAGAAATAACTATTATTAGCTATCGATTTAACGATTAACAGTTTTCTTGTTTTCAAACATTATATGCTATTATTACAATAAAATTATAAATAAATTTATTAAAGAAAATTTATTGATTTGTATTATTTATAAATTATATTTCATATAAGTATAGTTTATATGTTACAATTTTATGTTGTTGTGTCTTTTAAATATCGATAGAATATTTTGAATAAAAATATTCTTAAATTTAATTTCTACTACATAATATTTTATTACATTGCTGTACACATACTGTGGGAAGTGCAATCGCAAATTAAGTAGTATTGTATGAGGTTTCATTGAAATTAACATAATATACTTGAAAAGTTTAAAGGGAAGATAATTTTTCAGCTATGCCAAGCTCGGGGATTTGTCTGCGAGCTCTGTAACTCCAAGGATGTCATTTATCCATGGGAATTGAATAAAGTGATGAGGTGTGAAAGCTGTGGCACTTGCTACCATAAGACATGTATTAGTGCCAATGGAAAAGCAGGCAACAAAGAATGTAAAAGATGCAGCAGACTGCAAGCACGACGCAGATCTAAAGAAGAATCATGCGATACAAGGTGATCCAAAGCCTTCGACATTTCATTGACAGAATTGACAAAGCTAATCGTAGCACAAGACGATACGTAATAACAAAGTCTAACTTTCTAGTGGCCTAAAGTTCTATATTCCTTCACAATTGTTAATACAATAATAATCAGCCCACATTAAAACGCGTGTATTTATTTACAATTCTATGCATTTGAGTAATACTCATTTTATCCATCGATCGAACTTTATTAAGCAATGAATCAGAATAGCACCATTAAAACGGATGACGTGGTGTCCAACAGCTATTGCACACGATAATTTCTAATTATTATGTTGTAATCTGCCTGTAAGTGACCCCTAATACCTTGACACTTAGTTCTTTTATTTATAAAAAATAATGTTGATAACTAAATTGTAGCAAGTTTTCATTAGAAAATCATTTTTATCAACAATGGTTGTTAAAAAAAAAGGTGTTTTTTTTTTTGTTCTTTTGAAAGATTTAAATATTTCTTTTGTAAATAATTCAATGAATTCAATCAATATTAGTATTAAATAACAACCATCATACAAGGCTGATTATTAAATTGTCAATTTTGTAAGAATATTTGCAATCAATAAATACATAAAATAACAATTACTTATTTAAAATAATAACTATTCAAATTTTTAAGATCTTTCAACGAAAACTTACGTATTTATGAATTTGAGATTATTTAATAATCTATTTATATATTTATTGTATAAAGAAGATTTTGATACGACTGCCTAAATGTATAAAGTACTTTATTAACAGTGCACATTGCTAATTTGTATTAAATCGAAATAAGTTTTATAAAACGAGCATTTTTCAATGTAGCATTGAAAAAGTACATAAAGTTTACAAACTTTTCAACTTAAAATTATATTTTCTTTTATTTATGAACAATTTAAAATGAATGCCTGTTTTGTTTTGTAAATTATAATTTTTTTTCTTTATATAAATATTATATTATGATTTAATAGAATTGTTGAAATAACAAATTTTTACGCTATACTGTGTACTATGCTGTAATTAAAATAATTTAGTTATATTCATGTATCTTGTACATAAAAATTTAATATATAAAATTTTAAGTAAAACATATTATCTAAAAACTTGTTAAGTAATTAATTATTTTATCTATTTACTATATACTTTATAAATATAAAATTATATAAATTTTGTTTACAATTGATATCACTTTTTAAAATTATTTCAATATATTTGTTTTATATAATGATTTACTTCAATAAATTGTAGAATACACTTTTTATTGTCATTAAAGAAAAAACTTAAAATAATTATATAATTAGGTACTTTTTAGCAGGAATTCTGAAATATAAATTTTACAATTACTAATATAATATCCGTTTCTTTTGTGCCATTCGTTGAACAAATTTATAAATTTTATAATTTCAATTATTTTTATTTACATACATATCAGCACACAAATTTAAATTGTATTATATAATATTGTATATTGTTCTAGTTTATGTAAATAATAAGATACATGTTAACTGACCAATTTATTTAAGGTCAATATATTATAAATTAATATAATTAAATCAATGTGATATTTAGTATGTATTTTAGATAAGAACTTTATTCATTTATTATTTAAACTACATGTACTTTTTCAATAACTTCCTAGTTCAAATACATAGTACCTGGCTTGCAAGAGAATTTTTATATTTAAAAAATGTTGATGTAAATATGTAATATGTAAATATGTTATTTATTTTTTAACATTGTCATTTTTATAATGTTAAAAATAAAATCTAAATAAATAAAATATGAAATATTTATATATATTGCATTTTCATTAATAAATCAATAGAAGAAAGAAATGAAGAATAAGTAGAAGTAAAATTACAAATGACAAATTTATTATTTAAATTAAGTCACATTTATAATTGTCCACATACACACTTATTGCCCTATAAAATACTCAATAATAGTACATTCGCTGCTGGTAAAAAAAATATATTATAACATTATGTACATCGTGAAACATTTAGTAATAAAAATGTGGTAGCTTTATTGTTATTTACACATGATTTGTTTCATTTAAACAACATCAACAGAGAACTCGTTCATCCATCGAAATATAATATCAAAATTTATTTCGAAATTAATTAAAATTTTTAAAACATGTTATGGTATTCTAAAAAAAATTTAGAATAAAAGCACTGTTTGGGCTATGAAAATTCGAGGAAGTACTCACACTTACTTTTTATAATTTGAAATTAGAACAACACTTCACTAAATTAGCGAAAAAAAAATCAAAAAAGTCACAATTAGCGTATCACATAAAATGATATTGCTTGCTCTCCAGAAGAAAATTTAGCGATACAATTGTCACATAACCCTCAATGCATAATAATAGATTAAAAAATAAAAAAAAAAAAATAACGACGAATAAAGCTAAAATTATTTTTTAATCTAAAGAATCTTTTAATCGATTTCACGACAGTCAAGATATAACTACTGGCTTTCGACGATTAATCAGATGAATTTTCATTACGAAAAAGAAGAACTCACCTTTAGCATCGACTGCATAATATTATTTAGAAAATGAATGAATATATAATTAAAAGACATAAATTTATATCATCGTTATCAGTCTGTGTAAAGTGCACCAAAAATGCATAACAATGCGCCACATTTTTAGTCTATGACAGAATCCGCTTGAAAGAACGCAGGTCTTAATTATTTTTTTCTAAGTCAATCTTTAGTTTTATCGTTTTTTGTAAAATCACTGTGTATTATACAAAGCTTTTTTACATTCTCATAATACAATGCATTTACATATAAGAAATCGAAAATGGTCAGAGGATATTCGACGGATACCATTGAGCGTTTTTTTTATTATATATATAAAAACAAAAAAAAAAAAAAAAAAAAAAAAAAAAAAAAAAAAAAAAAAAAAACTAAAACAAAAAATTAAAAAATGATTTTTATAAATCCGTCAAAATTTAATAGATATGTAGAAAAGTATAACGCTATAGTAGACTTATTAACAAATATAAAATCTAAATAGCTTAAGAATATTGAGCGGCGTACAATACAGCTCAATGCATGTAGTAAAATGAATAAAACTTGTATAAACTCCATCCATCTTGACCCATTTTCAATATGGTTGTATTTCATTACTATTATGATTTAAACTAATTGAGTCCTTGGTTCATTGTCAACCGTTATCACACAAGCTTTGCAAGAACATCGAAGCGCGCGATTCGATGTTCAAGATTGTCTCGCTTTTGCCTCTTTCTCCCTCATTTCGGACTCAAGATGTCTCGCAGTCAAGATTTTGGTTCTGAAAAGAACCCCGTAATCGGCGCATCAATTTATGCGCCTGGCTTTGATTTTTCAGACTCTAATACTTACGGTTTATGCTAGAATTAATTACAAATCTAGAACGTCTTTTAATGGCACTTTAGCTACTTCAAAGAATATTCTAAAATAAAAATGATCCTTGATAATATTTATTATATACGTGATGCCGTACCAAATATTTATAATTAATTGAAAAATTCATGTAAAAAGTTGCATTACGAAAGCTTATAATAAATAATTTTATTTATTTTATTACTTATTAGTAAAATAATTGTATTTTATATAAAGGAAAAACTTTATTATTATTTATTTCAACTACTTGATTTATTAAATTAACACTAATAAAAATATAAAATAATTATATTATTTTTAAGAATATTTTTATATTCTTATATACAAAGTCTGATTATGTATTGAGTATTCTTTAATTTTAATAATTTAATATTGATTTTATTAGAAACTTATTCTTAGTATGTTAAAACAGCATTACAAATCAACATAAATGTCAAAAAATTAAAAATATTGGTACTAATGGAGTACACTAAACAATGTTTCATACTTACTTGTGACTATACTTATTTCGAACAGTTGATATAGCTTCTTTATGTTTTTTATGCAGGCCTTCATTCAAAACTAGGACAATATCAGAGAAATGTGACAACTTATAGCCCGTGTAATATTCTAATGTTGTCGTCCAACTTCCAAGATCCTTCATTTGTAACGCAAGGAATAGAGCCGCCGCTGCCATTTTACTATCGCTATATGATATCGTCGCATAATCAGTTAGTGAAAACTCCAAAATATAACGTGCCAATGTTAACGTCGGCATCGAAACCTTGGCGCACTAGAATTTTACATTAAATTAGTCAATATAAAACAACTTACCTACGTTTATTAATTTTAACGAATTAAAATTTTAACGATTTTATTTAATTATTTTATTCCAGCTCCGAAATACAAACCCTAGCATAACGTCGTAAAAATCGATAAGATAAAGGTATTCCAAGATTGAAATCCATAATTTTGAGAACATTCATTTCCATTCGAGTCAATTCTCGATGCGAGTAAGCACCATCACATATGTACAAAAAATCTTCTATCATTGGAGGAATTCTCTCCTATAAACATGAAATACATAAAATATAATAATGACAACAAAAATTAATGTTTATTATTAAGAAATGTTAATTATACAGTAACGAATATATGTAATGCATTCACTGAATTATTTTTAAAATTATTTTATTTAAAAACTTAACATGTAAAAACATCGTAATTTTTTATTTATTTGTCATATTATAATCTAAGTAATAATATTGAGAAAAATTAACATTTATAGTTAAAGTTAATTAAATTGAGGCCTTTAAAACCTATGGCTATTAATAGAACAATCAATAATTAACAATAAATTCTTATTGAAATTTAAATTTTATTATCTTGAATCGAAACTACCTAAGAATGTTAAATAGTAACAGAATAAATAATACTCATTCGAATATATTTTAAAATAAATTAACCAACTTGTTATACTCACATCAAATTTACTAGCTATATAAAGACTTGCAGCCCCAAGGAGTTGTAGCGTTTCTTTTCCCACTGTGACCTTGGTTAAATAAAGGTCCACCAGTTTCACCGCCAAATACAGGGTCTCGTGGTTGAGTTCAAAGGATTCTTGTACCGCAACCATCCAGTCGACGAGAAGAGAGCGCATCCAGCGTGACAGACACACTTGTCGCTCCATATAATCACCGATTGGGAAGAGATGCTCACGTCCCTTCAGGTACTCAAATATATCCATCGCATACTGCGGCACCTGATATGGGTCCTGCCAGTTTTCCGCGTCGAAGTCCCATTGCACACCGTCCGGAAGGACCGCTTTCGGGGCCACATTGCGACGCACTGGAATTACTTCCGACTTTTCAACAAGCGCTGTGGATGGCGCTTTACTTTCCAGTGTTAATGTTTTCTTATCTGTATCCTAGGAATCACAGAAATTATATATTATATGCAAATATCTACTTAAGTTTATAATTATATTATAATTTTAAGTAATAAAAACCCTTTATGTATATTTTTAATTGAGGTGCTTCAATTGCATTAAAGTTTAATATATTTTTTTCTATATTCTTCCTTATTTATTGAATTATTAATTTATTAAAGACAAGATTGACCCCATTTCATCTTGTTTCAAGTTATTTTCTAAAGTAAATGTGATCTTCATAATATCAATAAAAAATTTATAACAAACAAAAAATGAATATACATTTAAGTTTATATATATATATTAATAATAAATAATTAGGAAATCTTACTACATTGAGGAAGTTTATAGGGCACAGATTTCATACATTTATCATCAGAATTTCAAAATAAATTTCTATAAGAATGACACTAGTTTGATTCAAATTTAATACTTATTATTTAAGCACTTTGATATGAATCAATGCAAGCTTAATTTTAATATAACATTTAAAATTTCTATTCTATAAGTTTTAGGAACTCAATGAAATGCTATGAATTTGTAATTTTATGTCAATTTCAAATAAAACTTTTAAACATTTCTTTTTCAAATCAACTAATTTTATCTCACAACTATTGTTCCATTATTATTTAAAAACTATATTTTCGATAAAACTTACTTTTTGAGTCCTAGATAATCGTTTTACATTTTCTTCTGGAAGAGTTTCCAAGGCACTAACGTATAAAGAACTTTCGTCAGATTTCTCTAGATCCACACTCCGTCTTGTATTGATTACTTTAGCGGAAGTTTCTGTTTTGTCATCTCCTTTTTTCACTGGTGGTTTGACACGCGCTACTTGTTTAGATTTGACATGAGCATTATCATGTTTGCCCAATATTTTATCCAACGGCCTTAATGTGCTTGCTGTTTGAGTACTGCTAGTTTTAACAGATTGGCTAATAGAAATTTTTTTTGTAATTTTTTTAGTTTCGTGTAATTGAACACCTATAGTTTTTCCAATAGCCTAAATGGAATATATAAAATTTTTAACAGAAATTGCAAATTAACTAGTTTATAAATTTATACAATGAAACTATATAAAATAAGATACTTCACAGTAAAGAATTTTATTTATTATATAAATGTATCAGTAAGTAATTTTAATTAAGGAACGTACATTTGTGATGTTACCAAGCGCAGACCGCTTTGTCATTTTGTCTTTCATTGGTGAGGCTTCAGCTTTACGTTTAATTCTTGTATCTTTAAACAGAATTGGTTGTTGTTTTTCTGTATGTGTATTAGGAATAATTGTATTTTGTTGGCGTATTGCCGACCCCCGTCGCGTGACTACTCCACTAGTAGTTGCCTTAGTCTGTGTACTTAATACTTTCGAAGGTGCCATTTTGAAGACAAAAGTCTCTTGTCTTCTAAATAAGTTCTATAAAGTAAAAAATAAATATAAAATAAATATATAAAATATATATATATATAAAAAAAAAAATAATAATAAAGTAAAAATAAGTTAAAAGAAACGATAAAAAATTTAGTTTAAAAAGAATTAACTTCTTAATAATATAATAAGTTCTTTAATAAAAATACTAGATTACAATTTAAGAAAATTAACACTGCTGTGATGAGAAAATTATATTTTATTGTTAAATTTGGCGAATAAAACAAATATTCAAAATTAAATTAGGTAATGCTAAAGATATTAATACTGTTATAAATATTTTATAATATTTACCAAAATTAATGTATATTTAATAAAATTAAGATATTGCTCTTGTTTAAATTAATCAATGCTTAAATTTCAAGACATTGTATTATAAAGAAATCTTAAAAAATATCTGGAAAGAATTATAAAAAAATTTATTTTTTAGTTAAGATCGTGCCAAGGATTGTTGGCATTTATTTAAATATTGATCTAATGTTGATTTCCTATCGAATATAATAAAATAAGTAATCATGATTTTGTTAAATATACTATTTTAAATTAAAATATATTTATATTTAAAATAACAAGTTTTTTTTCGTTTTTTTTTTTTTTTGTTTTGTTGTAATATGTTACATATATACATAAGCATTTATATATTATACGCTTTGATTAATTTTAGCAAAGAATTATTAATCTTCATGTAATTGATTATACGTTGAACATCTTAATAATTTTAAAGATGATCAAACTAAATAAATATTATTAAAATAAAAAGATATTTAAGAATATTTAGTGCATGGTATGTTAACAGATGTTTCTAACAAACATCTGTAAAAATTTGAATTTGAATACGTATGAAAACTTTAACTTTATAAAGATATAGAAGCATGAGATACTGAATTATTCATATTTAATAATAAAAGAAAATCAACATTAAAATAAATATTACCAGATATATTTCATTGTTATATCTGAATTTTAAATTAGCTAATACAAAAATCTTATCAGGTACCATAATTTTAGAAGACAATAATAAATTGTTAAAATATTTATTTCTACGAATGCCATTAGATAAGGTAGAGAATAATTGCAAAAAATTATTAATTTTTTTATTTATATATATATATATATATATATATATATAAATTGAATATTCATTAAAAGAATATATTAATCTTTAATTTATTATTCAAAGAAATATAACTAATTATTTTTAATAATCTAATTTTTAGGTTAATTATTGTACATTATCTCAGTTTATTAATAAATTCGTTAAATTAATTAATTATGAAATTAAAAAAAAAAAAATAAATAAAACTTAAATTTTATACTTATATATCTCATGGTCAATCAACCGCAATTATAAAACATTATTAATAAATATATATATATATATATATATGTAAAATAGGTAATAACCTTATTAAATAAAGTGATATGTATTAAAGATCTAAGTAGCCGTAGTACATATGAAGCAATCGATCTTGAAAGAAATATGTTTCCAAGACCGTTTGAGGTAAGAAGTCTCGCGGTAAGCCGTAACCGTTGTCACTATCCAAAATCGATCGTCCAAACTCAGTTCGAAAACTTGAAGCAATTTCTAAATTCTGTTGTCTTTCAATAGACTCGAACTCCCCCGACGATATCCAACTAAAATCATGGGTAACTTCAGTCAGAAATCTAAAGATATAACGAAAATTCATCGAGTTGTTATGCGCGTAATTCCGTTAGAGCAGGCCAGCATGACGGGGAAACGGGCGGGAAGAAAACTCGCTTTTCCACTGTTTGCGCTTTCCCCAACGGTTCGCACAATCATTAGCAGCACAGCCGCAACAATTCTCGTCGGTAAAAATCCAATGAACTTTCGAACTTATACGTTAAAACTGCGAAGCCATGATGAAACGATCCAAAACAATCACTGCTCTCGCATACGCGGATAACGCATGTTTCGTAACGGTCGGACGGCGCACAGATACATACCTGCTTTTGCTTGTCCTTTTTTTCTTTCGGCTATCGTAAATCGTTTCTAGGATCTTAGTGGAAGAACGTCGTCATTTATTTACAAGGCGAGCGACGACTGGCTAAGTAATACGGTACGTTTTGGTAGCCCCTCCGACTGCCTCAGGCTGATGCGTTTAGCCGTTAAATTTTCATCTCGTACATCGTCTCATCAATACGGCCATTCGTGCGTATGCGTTGCGTGCGACTGAAATTGACGCTCGTTCAAACTAACGTCGGAAACCGTTGGACTGAAGAGGGATTGGCCCATGACCGGAACCACCGACCAATCGAATCCAAATAGGAAATAACCGCAGCATGCCGTCGGCTAATGACGGGATGCTCGTCACGTAACGGACTCTCGGAGTCTTACAGCAATCGCTGTTACCAGCCTCGTCGACAGATTGAACAATCGTCTTCGTTACGATGCGGATTTCGAAGAATTTTTTTCATTCCATCATTTAACGGGACAGGCTTATGTCGTATCGTATGTGAGCATGCAATAGGATTCCCATTCATTTCAATATTTATTGAATGTTTCAGCATCATGGGAAACAACTGCCTTGGTTAAAGCATCGAACTAAATGTCCTTTTTTATTTGTTATTATTACGCGTCGCATTTGCGTCTGCACCGGCAAATTTTTATATGCGTGTGACCGAATGTACAAATAATCAATAATCAAAGCTAATTATGTAATGTATGAAAGAATGTAACAGTTAATCGAGCGATGTGTGTATTGTGTTTACATTTTTGATGAACAAATTTTAAATGGTTAGGGAGATTGTACGTGGCAGTATGTTTATACTTTTACGATGCAAATTTGTATTCAAAATGCATATTGCATTCACACCGCTTTTCGTTGTATATATTATTATTCATTATTAATGATAATACCATAGCGATGACTTATTATTATCATCAAACAAATAAAAAACAGGCATTTATTTACCGGGCCTTTTTAATTAATAGAAAAAAAAATAAGTTCGTAGTTCTCGGAAACGAGTTTTTAATAGGATGATTTTATAAGTATTTGATCGTTCGATACAATGGATGAGGGATAATTATTTTTAAAATAATCGATGCATTCGGTTGATAGAGATAATTTCAATTATATAAACATACATATGTGTTTATACGGTTATATATATATATATATATATATATATATATATATATATATATATGTGTGCACGCATGTATGCATGCATGCGTATGCATATTCGTATACGCAACAGGGGCGCGCGCGCACTCACTTACGCACACACCCATATAATTATATATGATTTAAATTAAAACATTGATAAAAATTATGATGCACGTAATCTAGTGGATGTGACAGCATTTAAAATGCATATTATTTTAGCGCTCTTGTTAAATATAAAAGTGCGGATATTTGCATTAAATTTCGAGGAAAGGAACTTCATATACTTTGTTTGCTTGCAATGGACTCCATAATGAGCAATAAATACAATTTATAATCATCGTCATCTTTCTAGTCGGCTTATGGACCAAGTAATGTATCGTTGACAGTCACTTTTCGTATTGCCGTCCACTTATGACGAAAAGCCGCTGGAGCCTCGAGCCGACGCCAGAGCACACGTGAAAAGCGAATGTGGAAAGTCCTTGCAAGTGGTGGAGACTGGTGTACGGTAGTTGCGTTGCAGCCGTTCTTTTGTTTCTCGGAGGCCTTTTCAACCATTATTAACGTTATAAGAAATAATCGGTGTCTCCGACCGAGCCCGTCGCCTCGGCAAACACCGCACACACTGCCATTAGCGTCTTCCTAGAGTGCGACCGTCGTTCGTGCAGCAGGTCATAACTTGTAAGTTGCTAGCCACCACCACCACGGATGATGACTTTGCTCCGACAGTCCCCGGTGTTTTGCTCGCGAATCACTGCATATTTACTAAAGTACGCAGGCACAGTCGAGCATGCATACACGTACGTATATACACTACGGGTGCGCGCGCGCGCGACCGTGTATGTATAATAAGAGTCTCGGGCGCTCTAATAAATTTGTGTGCGTACAGGGGTGCCTAATGTCAAACACCTTTATCTTGATTAAAAGTGACTCAAGGTTTTTTTTCTTCATTAAACCATGTTAACCGACGCTTTCCCCTTTTCCTTTGTCATCACGACTTTATGATATCCTTCACTTAATTACATATCATTTACCGCTTAACTTTTCCATTTTCTTTTCTTTTTGTTTGTTTTCTTTTGTTTTCGCAATTGTTGCACATAAATTGTTTTGTTGTTGTTTATTATTATTTTTATTATTATTATTATTATTATTATTATTATTATTATTTTTTTTTTTTTTTTTTTGTTAAATTGTTACCTCCGTATCGCGACGAATGGCACATCGGCCGAACAAATTTCACCTTACATTTAAACATAAAATTATCAAGTACAATTTATGTGCTAATGTAAAACGGTCGTTATCTTGTATATTGCAGTGATAAGCCAAGGGCCGCTACAATAATATAAAATATTTCGACACCACGGAGCAGATAATATCGGTAAATTTTGAGCTTTGAATCAATGGATTCAGTGACTATTAATTGATTATAAAAGTAAATTAATTGGTAGGATAAAACTCGATTTTAAAGCTCATTTCGATTTGTCATTAAAATATAATGCATAACCAACGATTCATTGTGAAATACATTGCCGTTAATACGTGTTATTTGTATTTGCCGGAGTATTGTTATTACAAAATCAAGACACAGGTAAGTACGAGTAAGACCGTTTTATTATACTTATTGCTTTCGGTTAGATTAGTGTTTAAACAATTTATTCTGTATCGCATACACAACTAATGCGAAACTTTCGAATGCCCTGCCTTACGTATTATTAATTAAAAAACAAGGCAATCCGTGATTATATAATGAAAATACGAATAATTCCAATGGATAAAGTCGCGAACTGCGATACCATTCTTACATATAAGTGGTATCCATTTTATCTGTCATATTCTACGTTGCCGACTGCTTCAAATAATTTGAAGATTAATGATAGTAAGATAAACAATTATTTTCAATCCGCAAAATCAATGAATGTAATGATAAATTTGAAATAATTTCAATAAGAAGTTGGTCTTAAAATAAAATATTAAATTATCTGTAATGCATGGATCGTAGATTAAAGGTTGTGAGCATTTTAAACAATTTTCGGCACACGTGTATATCGTACAATTAATTTTCCATTTGGAATGTGTGGAAAAAAAAAGAAAAAAGAAAAACATATAATTTGCTTTTTCTGAGCTTTGTAGGCTTATCGAACTTTATATGGATTTCAATGAAAAATAATACGGAAAATTTATGCTCGATATAGCAGTGTCCAGTCTATCGAATACACTCCGGCGCTAAAATGTTGCAATGTCGTGCGTTAAATTATATACGGTTTTTACTAGATTTAATATCCCGTATAACCAAAATCTAATCCCCACTAACTTTCGAAAATATATTACCGATGTTATCGTACAAAATCGCTATTTACCGAGTGCGTTAATATGGATCAAAACTTCGATTTATGCGTGACAACATTTATACTTTGATACGTTCCCGGGTGCATTGAGAATTCACCTCGTGATAAAAGACACACAAATCATCCTCTTTTTAAAATTGTCATTTTACCATTATAGCTTATTGATTTGGAAGTTTATATTCGAAATCGTAACGCGTACTCCCAACTTATTGGCTGCATATTACGAATGTGTAATGGAATGGCGATGGTACTTAAACACTTGAGTATTTATATATATATATATATATATATATAATGCATAATTATTAATAAAACCACATTGTTTGTTACATTATTTATTAATTTTTTTTTAACAATAATTAATAAATTACGTAGTTTATTGGTTTTATTCAAATTTACAGGAAATATTGAAATTCTTTAAATTTTTAGTCTGGTTTTTTAAAATGCATGCTATCCTGATCAGCTAATTCAAATTATACATAGTTTTTGCTAAAAACGTTCATTACGTACTTTTACATATGGTAGTAAAAAAAATTCAGTGTACGATCCTGAAAGTCAAGTTTTTATAGTATTTATGAATTTATCGAATTATATCGAATGATTATTGAAATATTTACTAATTGTTTCATTAGTACTGGACGAATTTTATTTTAGATTATATATATATATATACTATTATTATCTCTGTTTTCAAATTGTAAGTGCTTGAAAGTTTAAGCTTTAAAGATACTATAAAATTTCAATTAATAAATTAGAATATTCATGATTATATTAAGATATGAATATGTGTTCCATGTTGTTACGTTCGCATTGAGAATTTTGCTTATTAGTGTATTGTTTATAAGACTTTGTATTTTCAGGTAATCAACAAATTAAGTTTTAAAGAGATAATGAGTGAGTGAGTTGAGTGAGTGAGGGAGAGAGGGAGAGGGTGGGGGGGGGGAGTACAAATAATGAAAATTAAGATAAGGACTAGAAAAATACTAAACAAAAACTGTATTAAATTAACGATATTCTGATACAATATTTTCCCCCATCCATTTTCTTCGTTCTATTCCAGTTGAATGTCGCGAAAGTGAGACACAAGGAAGACTATTATTACTTATCTAGGTACATGGGGCCAAGTCCCGATAGAAATAATGTCTGCCTCAGCGCAACATTTGCAAGGACTTTAAACATTAACGAGGGCGATGAGGTCTTTGTGTCTTGCTTCGAAGATGCGCCATCCTTAACGAGCGTCAGCGTCTCTCCTAAAACCTTGCACGACCAAGAAATAGTGGTGAGTATATTTTTCCGCCTTCGAGCCTTATAGTTTTGTTATTATTTTTATGCTATCTTATTTCCCTAAATTTAAGATACATAAAATACTTCTGCGTTGTTGTATTTTCTTAGTAATAAAAGAAAGCTATCACGAGATAATATTTATCGTTTCATTACAATGGTTTAATTTTAAATAGTTTATTTTTTCTATTAAAATGAGTAGATCGATAGATATTTTTATAATTCCGAAGCATAAAGTATATTATAATGAAATATTTAAATTTCTGCACTATTTTTATCGTATAATTGACATAACAGATTAAATAATTTTTAATTTAAGCAACAATTATTTTTGTTTATTTGTGTAAGTTGAATATTCTTATTAATATATATGAAATACATCTTTCTCTTTCAGATTCTATTGACTTTTATATTTTTCTATAAGCTATTTACATGATAATATTGACAAATAAATAAAACATTTATAGAATTATTTAAGTCATTTTTTGTATTTTGTAAATAACTAATAATTGTTTAAATATAATTCTTTTTTCCTTAATCTGCGAGTTTTGTAATTGCAAACTACTATTTCTTTTTAACTTATTATCTATTTTTTATTATATTATATATTTTATATTATATATTATATTTTATTATCTATATTTCTTATTATCTATTTTTAAATTGTTAATCGTACTTTTTATTTTTTATTATGGTTTCATTTTTCATTATATTTTTTGTACTTAGTGTTTTAGATTTTCTACTTCTTTATTCTGCCTTCTTACATACATAATTTTTTCTTTTCTTTTTACGTTCATCGCACTAGCGTTTCGCACTTCTCAACGTACACTTTACAATCATCATGTACGCATACTCTCGTACGAATTCGCTAAACGCATTTTTAACTTCCTTCCCGTCTTTTTCTCTGAATTCATGTCTTATATTTTTTTGTTAATATCTATATACTAGTAATTCGACTAAATGTTTATTTTTCTATTATTCTGAAGCTTTTTGTTTGTTTATTTTTTATGTTCGTTGCTTTTTTTTTTTTTTTTTTTTTTTTTTTTAA